ATGATTAGCTTTTTTGATATTTAGGTCCAAAAAATTGTCATCAAAGGTCTACCAACGACATGTCAAAAGCATGCTGATTATGTTGATCAGGTAAATCCCAAGGTACATTTCTGGATTTTTCCAACGATTTATTTCGGGTGGGAGACGTTCTTGCTCAACTACTGAGTGCGCACGATACTCAGGAATCCCTTCTAGTGCGGAAATCTCTTAGTACACTACTCGTGAGCCATCCTAAAGGTAAACATCTTTTTTGGTGTTTGACTGCAATATCCTCTATTTTCTTACAGAAACCGTGGTTGCTATGTATGGCGCCATAAATGATGCTAATACTATCGAGGAGAAGGTTACAATGCTTAGATTCATGGATGAAAAGGTGTCGCGGTTGCTGAAGGCAGAGCTAACTCCACTTATGAAAAAGAAGTTATCGGAAATCTATAAAGAAGTGTGTTGTCCTTGCATGCATAGTGTACATAACCATATAAGTAATTTGGAGTTCTAGATGCTGATCTCATCGACTCCTGATGAAATTGAGATTATTCTCCGATTTATGGGAAAAGCAACGCAAATAAAGGAGGAGGAGAAGTTGACCATCTTCAAGGAAGCTTTGGACGAACTCGTCGACAAAGGAATCACGTTCGAGGGGGTTTGTGCATCTTATTCAGACAGTTTCAGAACAGCTAAAAAATTTTATGAGTTTTTCAGGAAAGTGCTACTGACAGTGGGCCAGATTTCATTTCTATAGTGAACAACGTTGTTAAAGTCGTATTGATCCTCAATGTAACTTAACTCGAATCTCATCACTTTCAAGGTCATTTTTGCTGAACATATTCAATTTAGTCTGCAGGACGCTCATATAAAATGCCAAGAAAGATGACAAACTATTTGTTTTCGAAATTCGGAAAGATGCGTTTGATCCATGCTTCGGATAGGAAAGATATTTTGAAGGTGTGTTTTTTCTTCATTATCATTTCTACATTCACCGCCATGTACGATTTACTTAAGGTCCTTGCTTCGGTTACGCACCTTGGCAATTATGAAGATCCTGACGATTTCTCTTGCGTGATCAAGCTCTTTGATTATTTGAGGGTATGTGTGTTTTCTAATTCAAGCAATTTAAGTTGATTTATTCTTTTTCACATAAGTGATCTTGTTTATTTTTACGCTGTAAATTTCACTTACAGAGTATGCTTCCCAATTCTCGTCCCATCGATCCAGATGCTGTTGATGGCTATGTTGATCAAGTATGTCTTTTGAAACCTTTTTGTGTGTTCTTAAAACCTACTACTGAATTTTAGGTTGATGATCAAGAGTGTGACATTGAGTTTGCTGAGTTAGAGCTTGTCTTCATCGTCCTATTCAATTTATTGAAAAGACACCGATTTATTGCTGAGGAATTGATGGCAGTGGGCGATATTTGGAAGCCGAAGTAGGAAGAACATACTGTTATCTCGACAGTGTTTCGAACAGTTCGTGGTTTAGGCTCCAGTACCTCGTGAATGTCATCAGAGTTTTTACTCAACGCTTGAAGCGAAAATTAGACGAAGAAAGTGGAAATGGCGAAGAGCACTCAAAGGATACCAGACTCTTGCTAGTAGCTAATAATGTAGGGTGAGTGGATTTTTTGTTATAGTCCTTAAACTTTCTTTAGAATTCAATTTTGCTTTCAGCCTGATCGCGAATTGTTTCTTGGTCAATATCTGTGACCTACACGTCAAGTTCTTACCGTCTTGGTCACAACCGCAGAAACGTCATTGTGAGTACCATATATCACAGTCTTCTTATTCGCTTATGCTTTCTAATTTCTGCTTGCAGACAGCGTTCGACACAAATCGCCTTCGAAAAGGAGAAGAGTAGAATGACGCGATTCGCTACGCTCAACAATACTGCCTTTAAACTCACTTGCCATAGCATAAGTTGCCCATCTACCATCTATTCCCTTGTCTTCACAACAGGTATTTGCTTGCTTATGCATCTCCAGTATAAGATCTGATCTTGATCGGCTTTAACATTTTAGTTTACATGTTTTCACGTTCAAAACTGTTTATTATCCGAAAATC